CGGTGCTGGTTCTCCCCTTCTCGTTGGGGCTGCTCTCTCCGCGGTTGTGTGTTGTGTGCCCTTCGGCTAGAGCAGCGTGTCCCCACCACAGCGATAGTGGCCCAGGTTCTTGCTGAGCTCCCACAGTGTGAGCGGCCCATGTGAATCTGGGAGTTTTCAGCCTTCAGTGCTCCTCCGAAGGTGGGATGAACGTAGCCTACGCTTGAGATAATAGGAGAGGAAAGGTGAGCTGATTTGTAGGAGTAATTTAGAAAGAAGTGATTTTAAAGAAGAATGCTATTTTTACTGCTGGGAGAAGTTTCTTTTAATGTTTTTTGAAAGTTGCAGAAGAATAGTGAGTTTTTAATGAGTGTCATGATGTTCACATTGTCCCTCTATTTTCAGGGAGGTGCAGGCCATATTTTGTAATAAAATATAAAAGTGTAGAAATAAATGGTATGTGGTCTGTAATTTCACATTACAAACTGGCTTTGAAATTTTGTAGATGAGAGCATGCTGCTTTGTTGAAGTAGTCACAGCACTGTGGAACAAAATAAAAATGTACTTGCAGGATCCAATAGATGGTCCAGGATGTTATGGTAAGGCCACTTGGGACGCTTTGCTGCTTGCTCGTGCTTGGAGAATTTATTCACACGCAAACAGTTGGGAGTGTAGCGGTAGATATTTCTCTGGGTGCCCTTCCCACAGCAGATGCCCAGCTGCTTTGTTGCTTTGTACTTTTTGCTCTGCTTACCTGAGGGCAGACAAGGTAATTGGTTGTCTCTTTAATCTTCCTCCTGTTTTTTGGTTTGTTTTTTTTTTTTGTCAGCACCATCAGCAGGATGTGAAGTTTCAGTTGTATGACAAAACAGTTATATAATGCAGTGCTTGCCTTTTCCTTTTTTCTGGATTCCTTCTCTGTAAATCTGCTCTGAGCATGCTCAGACTCTTGGGGTTTGGTTCAGGGGTCAGTGAAATCAACAGAAAGATTGTGATCAGCCTGAGCCTGTTCCTCAGTTCTGTTGACAGTATTAAAAGCAAGCTGTTTGCACGAGGGGCCTGCTGCTATGCCAGTCAAAAGGTTTTCACACTTCCTTTTTTCCTTCCTACTGTTCCTCCATCCCTTCAGGGAAACAGACACTGGCCATCTGCAGAGCTGTAGGAAAGCTCCCTGTGCCAGCCATGGCTTTGTGTCTGGTCGGTGTTCCTGCTGGGGGCTGCTGATGGTGGGCGAGGGACTGGAGCTAAGGTTAATAGAGGTGTGGAGCTGGTGCGCAGGGTACTGTTGGGGAGGTAGATTATGTGGTGCTAGTTGGGCTCCAAGAGAACAGTTTTCCATGCCTGACCTCTGCCTTGGTCTTAATTATTAGCAGAAATCATGTGCAGACTTGTCCTGACAAAGACTATCTCCCTCCAGAGAAGTCACCCTATTTTGAAACATCAGAGTGATCATCTGCACTGTTAGTAGGCAGTCCCCTTTTTGCTGATGACTGCTGAATTTTATGCAATATGCACTGCACAAATTTTTTTCCAAAAGAAGATGTTGCGACATGCCTGTGATTTCCTTTTTCAGGGCAGCCTGAAGACCGGCTTGAAGTACTGGTTTGCCTGTATTTCCTGGATGCTCAAGCTAGTGGTGTTGTGCTGAGAGTTTATTAGTATCAGCAGTGTCATGCTTTGACTCCAGATGCTGGAGGTCTTGATGCCAGAATCAGTCAGATTTTGTACTGAAGCAGCACCAAGGTGAGCTGGTGTCATCAGAGAGATGTGCTCTGCAAGTCTGTGAAAGTTTGCAAAGCCTGGCTGTTTTGCCAATAAGATGGCATCTCCTCTAAGAAAGAGGAGAAAACCTTGAAGTGTTTGTTCTCCTTCTTCTGAGCATGTCTTTATGGGGAGAGGTTTCAAAGTCTTGCATTCCTGTGGCAACGAGGTGGGTAAAGTGTGTGATGACAGATAATGAGACTTGGTGGAAAGGACAGCTGAGAAATACAATTTGTCCTTCCTCTCATTTTTTTCTGAGATTTTTGTGTTGCTTCCTCTGTGGCCTGTTGACGTTCTCCTGTGAAGGTGGGTGCTTGGTTTTCCCCTATGGTTTCATGAATGAGAGATGCCTCTGTCTTTTAACAGAGGATTTTTGGCAGAAGCTTTGCATTTTTCTTTGTTGTTCATGGCTACTGTGTGAGATTTTCTCCAGATCACGCCAAGACACGGGAGCTGTCAGTTGTTTTCTGACCTGAAGGCATGGCTGGGGTGTAAGGAGATGGTAGGGCCTCTGAGAAAGAAGTACCGCAAACATCAGTGGAAATGTTGCAAACTGTGTGTTTGATAAAATGCCCAAGGGTTCCTTGCATGAGATGAGGAACTGTGCGTGTGAGGAAGGGTCTGGTTTGATCAGCGTGCAAGGTTTTGCACTAAAGCTGGATGCTTATTGTGGCAGCTTTCAGGTTTCTTGTGTTGACATTTGCACGTAGTAATTCTAATTCACCAAAAATCATGGCTTCAAGAGATGGGCAGTGTTTGGCATCTGATAAGAACAAGACCCAAAATTATCAAAGTGGTTAGGTCCCAATGGAAACAATATTCACCAGCAGGAGGGCTGCCTCGTTTGCTCCTAGCCAGCAATGACAGAGAAATTCTAAGTCTCCTCTGA